CATAAAATTTTAATTTTGTAACTCCCAGTTAATTAATGATATGGGAGTTACATAATTGTTTTTACCTAAATACCCTTTTCAACATTGTTCACTTATCTTTATACAATTTTAAATTTAAAAAAATAAGTTTTWATCATGATTAATCACAACCGTTTATTGAAAGATTGAATGGCCAAGATCGGTTAACAAAGTTAACACAAAAACTTTGGTTAACATTTGATCTTACCCCTATATATATATATATAGAGAGAGAGAGAGAGATTGTGGAAGTTCAAACGAGAACCTTTGTAATTTACAAGAATGCAAGAACAGTTGTGGGCCTCAAACCTTTTAAACCAAGAATTTAAGTTATAATAAATAAAAATAAATCAATAAGGGTAGTAATGAAATTAGGTATTTTTTATGATTTTTGTCTTATCTTAATTAATTGGAATTATCCCATGATTGGGATATTGATCATGTTGAACAGAACGTCCATCGTTTTCTTCCCATCATTTTCTCTCCATCGTATACGAATATTCGAAATTTCTGATATTCGAAGTATCCAATTCTTTTTTCTACTGAGAATGGAGGATTCAAATGTTGTAGGTAAGAAAGCTATCAATGTTTTTACAGGATAATAGTGTGATAATCGATATTGATTGGGCAGTGATAATCATGTGATATGTTAACCTAATCGAACCAAACAATGTGTATTTGTATTTGGTGATATTCGTGTGATAATCGCTACTGATTGGACAATGATAATCGTGTGATACGTGAACCTAATTGAATCAAACTATGTGCAGTTGTATTTGGCAATAATCGTGTGATAATCGATATTGATTGGCTTGTGATAATTGTATGATACATGAAACCTAATCGAACCGAACAAAGTGTAGTCAGATTTCTTGTGATAATCTTGTGATACTCAATTCGTATTTGGTTGTGATAATCGTGTGATACGTAAACCCTAATCGAACCAAATAAAGAGCAGTCAGATTTCTTTTGATAATCGTGTGATACGTGAACCCTAATCGAACCGAACAATGTGTAGCCGTATTTGATGTCATAATCATGTGATAATCGAACCTTAATTGAACTAAACAATGTTCTAATCGAGCGACGGTAATTGATTCATATTCTAAGTGTGATAAACTAGTGATTAGCAAGCCTTGAATCAATGTCTCTGTAAACTTCTTCCAGTTCGATTTCTTTATCCAGTGCACTCTCTATCTTCTGAAACCTTATGAAACTTTTTTCCTCTAATAATGGCCTACTAGATAACCACCGTCGATGATGATTTTATCAATTACCAGATGAGCAGAGTCTTTTGTGATATATTATTTAATATTATCACTTTGAACTTCATGTTCACCCTTCCACCTTTCAATTTTTTTGAATTCCTTTTAATATTATTTTAAATTTAAAAAATCCCTTAATCTTGATTGTTATCACATTATTTAGTTCGTAAGTTGTTCTTGCATTCTCATAAATCACAGGACTTCTCATTTAAACCATTTGCTATATATAATGGTATATTCATGTTAGCATGATTTATTGCAGAAAATACAAGCATATTTGACACTACCATATGTTTGCCACATGGAGCCTTATCATTATCTCTACATCTAACTATTGTTCAAGATTCAGTGACTTCTAAAGTTGCTTCTTTTACCTCTTTCTTGTTATTCATAACATTATTATATTCAATATTTTTTTAATATATCAATAAAATGAATATCATATTTTATATTTTGATCTTTGGCTTTTATATTTGAACAATAGAAATCTGTTATTTCTTTTTTTGTTTTGTTTTAAAAAGTGTTTAATTATTGAAAAAATAATCATAAATAGATGTTATATTTATTTTGACAGTTGAAATAAAAAAATAAAATATTAAAAGATGGGGAAGAGGGTGTAAAAGTGACATTGTGAGAGCCAGAGAATGGGAGTATCTCCAATGGACATGAGTGGTTATCATTCTTCCAAAAGCAAATGGAATACAGTCTGTCTTAATCATATATATATATATATATATATATATATATATATATATAGAAAGTTGAGTTCACATGAGATCAAAGATTTTTTGTGAGACTCGTAAAACCAATTTATGTTCATTGATCAACTTTATAAGTTAATGATCATGGTCTAATATTGCACGGTGGCTTTGTGATTATTGAGAAGTCTCGTGGCAATTTTGTGATTATGAATGTTTAGATTGTAGATTTAATCCAAGAGTTGAAAATTGGTCTTACAAGTCTCACGAAAAACCTTTGGTCTCACATATAGGGGGAGTTTGGGAGAGAGGAGAAGTTCCGTTAAAGAAATCAATATTGTTAGGAAGGTGAAAACCAACCACATCACGATGAGACATTCATGACAATATCAAATTTCCACTCAATTAACTTTCACACAAAAAAATTAATAACCGACGAATTCGCAAATGTCACGCAATCTTGAAAATGTATGGGATTTTATGACCCTGAGCCATTTGGTGCTGACATGGTTTTTTTATAAAACTTTTCCAATGATACCCATAAGGCCATAACAGACTTAATAAATCGGAGTTTAAAGTTGGTCTGGACTTAATACTGTAAGGGGTAGAAAACTATATGATCCAATTTAAATCGACCAATCCAATTATAACCGAATGACCATAATCGGATATCTAACTATAACTGGATTAGATTGGATCCCAAATTCAACAACTAAACTGGATCGATAAGTTTTGGCATTTCAGAATCCGAAAAAACCGAATCAATCCAATCCAATTATCATCCAACAACTATCCAATTACTAATTATATATAATTATTAGCATTTTATGATACTGCTTTTTAATTGATATTTGTTCATAGTGTTTTTGATACATTAAGAAAAGATATGCATATGGGTTAAGATGATGGATTAATTTGTTGAAAATTGTACCAAAATATTGGATGGATCCAATTGGAGGAACCAATTTGATCCAATCATTTATTTGATTGGATCGGATCGGATCGGATTGGATGCCCAATGTTATTTGTATCGGATCGAATGACAAAATCCAACATCAATTGGATGATTGGATCAGATCAAATCAGATCCGATCCACTTAAATTTATTGGATTTCAACTGATGAACAACCTTACTTAATAGTGTGATGGAGATGCCTAATGTGTAGGCGTTATGCATCAACTCTCGTACCTCATAAGAATTAGTGTCTTTTAAGATACATTTTTCTAGTTTGAAACCCTTTAATCATTTTGTAAAGCAAAAACTGAACTGAAAATAAAAGAGTCCCAAAACAAAATTAATCATCTTTCGATATTATTGGCAATGTACTAAACTGATTATGATGAAACCGAAGAACTAAAAGAACATATCAGAACCAACTATGTTCAGCTTTTTAAGTGGTTCTCAATTTAGTTTTTGTTTCAATATTTTGTTTTAAATTGGTTTTTGATTATCGGTTTTTCAAAATTGAAATTATTTTATTTTAGGTTTGTATATTTTAATTTAAAACAAACTCGATTACTTTTTTGGTTCACGATCAGGTTTTGGGGAGAAATCAGACGGTTTTCAATTCCGTTATTATTATTTTTACTTTTTAGTTCTAGGTCGGTGTAGTTTGGTCCCAACTCGATGCATAACCTTGATAATTGTATTCATATACATCCTCGTAATTCATATTAAATAACTAAAAACATACATTATCGTATAATTTACATTGTAATAACAACTTGTATATTGAGACTTTAAGAAACGGGTTTGGCTGTACCCATATGCATACATGATTCTACTGATATGAACTGCTCAAATTGAATCAAAACAATTATACACATTTCACCAATGATTTTGATCCACTTATGATTACAAGATTAATACTCAAGATTGACATGATTGTACATGTCTTTTCTTTATATATCTGTAATTGTTTCTTTTTAGAAAACGACTGATTTTTCAAACATCCTCTGCACGCGAACTACATACTTAATCTCTATGTATATTTATTCTCGCTGTACCGAGTATAATACAATTAACCTAACCATCTGTCTATTCCAAAAGATCGGTTTTTAAGATCTTGACACACTAACTAAAACATCTTGTTGTTATAGCTAATTTGCCATTATTGTAGGATCTTATTTCGTCAATACAACGAAACACTTGTCGTTCTTGATGATATTTGTAAATAAAATAACAAGAAGATACTAGAAGCCGAAAGACAGAATTATAGATAAAGGGCATTTGAGTAAAAATGGGTCTTCTTCGATTCATTGAAGTCACATGAGTCTTTCCTTATTTGGACAACCCATGTTTACGGTATATCTTTTTTATAAGGTTTTTATGTTAAACTTACATACTTACCCATTATAATATTCATCCGTTTGACTAAGATTGCAACACACTTTTAAGTCACTCGATGATATATAATACAAGATGTTTTTATAGACGAATACAAAAGCTATCATTTAACATTATCATTTACTAATCGGGTAAGATTCTAGTCCAATAAACGACATCGTATGCAATAATGTACCCAGTAAACGCTTACCATGGTAAGAGTCGTCGCCCTCACTTACCGGGTAAGACTCGTGGTCCTTGTCTCGCTCTTACCAGGTAAGTTCTTGGTCTTTGTCTTGCTATTACCGGCTAAGTTCTTGGTCCTTACGTATGTTCATCAGGTAGGATAATGTGACTTGGTAAACGCTTATCCGGACAAACATTTGGTAAACGACCCCTAAATCAACCTGTTAAAAGGAAATTTGATTGGAAATCAATGATAATATATAACTAATAAAAAATATTATTTTACCTACTAATAAAAATTATCAAACCAAGATCTTGTTCGGATTAAATAAATCTCAACTTGTGGTTTGATGAGGCACTTAATTTGTACAAATTTAAAGGTAAGGAGTGTAAAAGTAAATACTTCAAAGATGAAGGTATGAAAGTGTAATTACCCCAAATATATATACCCACCCACCAAGGAGCAAATATCACACCCCAAACTCGCTCCAAAACCAGCACCCACCAATGGAGCCTCTACACGTCACCCTTCTCTTCCTTCTCTCCTTGACCCTTGTTAACTCACTGAGTCCAAATTGTGACTCACCTAGCCAAGGGTCAACCCTTAGGGTCTACCATGTGTCTAGCCCATGCTCACCATTTAGGCCAAAGACAACACTCTCATGGGAGGAGAGTGTGCTTCAAATGCAGGCGGACGACAAGACCAGGCTCGTTTATCTAACGAGCCTGGTTGCTGGCCGGTCGTTTGTGCCAATTGGGTCAGGCAGACAAATCATCCAAAGCCCGACCTACATTGTGAAAGCTAATATCGGGACGCCAGCTCAGAGCTTGCTTATGGCGTTGGATACCAGCACTGACATGGCTTTGGTTCCTTGTGCCGGTTGCGTTGGTTGCTCCTCCGTCACTTATGATTCAGCTAAGTCCACAAGCTTTTCCTCACTTGCTTGTGGTGCTGAACAGTGCAAACAGGTACGTATAATCTCCACCGTAAAATTCAACATATAATCACTACTTGTTTGCATATATATATATATATATATATATATATATATATATATATAGGGTTGGGTTCATGTGAAACCAAGTTGTTTTTGTGAGACCTGTGAGACCACATTTTTACACTTGAAACTTCATAACAAAAACAATGTGAAGGTTTAAAGAAGTCTAACATTCACAGCAAAAACACTGTGAAGGTTACCTTCACAACATTTTGCTGTGAAGTTTCAAGTGTAAAAAGCTGGTCTCACAGGTCTTATGAAAACAGGTTGGTCTCACGTGATTCCAAGTCTATATATATATATATATAGACTTGGAATCACGTGAGACCGACCTGTTTTCGTAAGACCCGTGAGACCAGCATTTTACAATTGAAACTTCACAGCAAAATGCTGTGAAGGTAACTTTTTAAAACCTTCACAGTGTTTTTGCTGTGAAGGTTCGACTTTTTTTAAACCTTCACAACGTTTTTGCTGTGAAGTTTACGTGTAAAAATGTGGTCTCACGGGTCTCACGAAAACAGACTGGTCTCACGTGAACCCAACCCTATATATATATATATATATATGTATATATATTTATGTATGTATTATATATTAAGACCTGCATTTTAGATATTGTTGCATAAGTTCCACACAATCATTATGGTTACAATCACTATGGTTCTTTTCGTAATAAAGAAAAAGATTCAGCTTTTGACATATCAGAATCTGGCATCCATTATGGGATTTTTAGTTACCAAATGCAAAGGGATTTGGACCTTCCAAGTCCAAACCATTTTCGACCCGCAAATTAAGACTTCAACGAATAAAAAAATCAAGTAGAGAATATACGAGTTTAATTAAAACCCGTTTACGAATTGTATTTTGAAGTTTCATTGTTTATTGTGACTCTCTGAACATCGACCCATATGGGTTATCAGCTCGACAAACCGAATTTTGAGTTTATTAAACTCAACATCGGTTTGTTGACCCTATACATACATTATTGTTATTATAGTTTCCATATTTAGAAAAAAGTTATAAATTAAAATAAAACAAACGTTAATATCTTCTATTAATAAAATTGATAAGACAATGATAATCAAAAGACGAATGATCGTGTAAAAAGCGTAAGAAGAGATCTGGATGCTTAATTATTATCCATGAATTGCGTTTGATACAGTGATTGATGCGGTGCATTCAAATGTGGAGATCCATTCTTATATGCTTCTCATTTTAACTATCTTTCTTAATAGAACCCAACCCAACAATAATATTGATCAAATCAATAAGATTGATAAGATATTGATTTAATTTTTACGCTTCTCATCTTAACTCTCCACGTCAAAGGTCATAGATTCTAGTCTTACAAAGGGTTTTCAGGCTGTTTTCCAATCAAAACATACACAAACACACAAATGATGAACAAAAAAAATGATAATATTGAGTTTAATCGAATTTTGTTAAATTATATACCAAATTATTAAAGCGTACTAGAAAGATACTCGCACAATGCATCGAGACATATCTTGAATTTAAATTTTTGGTCTCTGTCGATTTTATAATAAGATTTTATGTGATTTTTTGAGTAAACACTAATGTTTTTTTTAATAAAATACAAATTTAAAAATATCATAAAAATTAAAAAGTTCACATTTTTCTGTATAATTTTTTTAATTTAAAATTTTATTATAATTTTAACGAAGTAATTTGTTTTTGGTTTAATGATATAATTTTTTATAAAAATAATGATTAAATATTTTGTTAAAATTCAATAATTATCCTAATTATTTTTAAATTTCATATTTAAAATGAGAAATTTATCTTGTATTTAGTTATATTTATCTATAGTTAGTTACACGAATTCAAACATGAACTTAATAAGTTGTATTTAACTATAATTACTTGTAATCTTGAATTTTTAAGTAATATTTATCAATAAACAATATTTTATATATAAAAAATAATTTTTAAAAGTTTTTATAAATAATTTATAATATAGTGTAAATTATATCTTCAGGTACAAAAATATTCCATTTTCTATTCCATGTGAAATTGACAAAAGTAAGAGGAGATCAAGGCAAATCCGTGAGTAGGTTTTGGCTGGATTCCATTTGTGGGACCCCTCCCTTTTATCCCGTGACAATCCCCTTTGTTTTTGCTTTTTTATACACACCGCTGTCTTCACCACAAATTCTACATCAACTTCATTTCTTTTGTTTTAAAATAATTACTAGGATGGTATTCAAATAATACAGTAAAATATATTTTAATTTTAATATTTTTTTTATTTCAGTTGATATTATAATATGTTTTTATATGATTTTAAGAAAACGATAATGTTTTTATTTTTGAATAAAAATATAAATATGAAAATATCATAAAAGA